GTCTGGGGGGGGGATAATAAAATTTTTTAAGAAATATTATTGTTTTTTAAAAATATCAAGCATAAATTTATTAGGACTAATAAATATTTCTAATACACAATTTTAAATTAATGTGATTTATAAAAAAATTATATGTAAAGAATCACTTAAATGGCCCAAAATAGAAATTTGAATTTTTTGAGCTTTAAAATTTATATATAAAGTATAAAAAATTTAAATATTAGAAATATGAATTAATACACAAAAAGTAGGGAATAATTGTATTTTGTATGTTATATATTTACAATGTAAAATCCAATCTTCGTTGGGATTGAGTTAATTTTTCAATTATCTCATCCTTGCTTGTTGTCAAATGCCTATGAATATTCAAAAGATCCAAACCTTTCAATCTACTTTCAAAAGTTGTACTTCTTGGTATGTTTTTCAGAGATCTGCAGGCCAGGCCCGAAATTAAAAAAAAACACCCGGGCTGAGCCTGAATTTTTTAAAAAAAACATCTAAACCGGGCCTGAAAATTTTTTTAAAAAAAATATCCGGGCCGGACTGTATATTTTAAAACAGCCTATATTTGAAATCGTTATTATTAGCTATAAAAATCAAAAATAAATATAATTTATTTTTAAAAAATACGGGTCGGGCCTGAAAATTTTATTTTAAAAAAGACCGAGCCGGGCCTGAAAATTGAGCTTAGCCGTAAAAATCTTTAAAAAAATCCGGGTCGTGCCCTGCAAATAGTACCTCTGCAGGGCTCTGTTATTCTTCTTAAAAAAGAGAATGTTCTCTCATTAGTTTACTATTGGGAAGAGTTGCTAATATATATAAACCCTTTTAATACATTGGGAATATAATCTAAAATGTGTTTGAAATAATGCAGAGCATCCATAGCATTTTTTGGGACTGTATCAACCATAGTTAATTTTATAAACATAGTTATTCAGCTAATAAGGCATCATAAGATACTTTAACATCTTCATGATAAAAATCCAACAAATATTATTTTTTCTATCACCATATGAAAAAGGTTGGAAAGGCTTTTATGGAAATAATATTTGCAGATTGGTAAGTGCTGCATAATGAATTAAATACTATTTATTTATTTGGTTTATAAATGTATTTATATCTAAGATATACTTTTCTACTGATCCTATATTAATGTTTTAACTATGAGCTTGCCTTGCTGCAAGTCGAGTGAGACAAATATTAATCACGTATAGCTCTGCTTTTGACTTAACAATAACATATAAAATATGAAATTCTTCATAAACATTAGCCCTAATTTCCTTAAATTCTAATAAAATGCTCTCGGCTATTCTCATCTTCTTAATCAAGTCATCATGTTTTTGAAAAGTAATACATAAAATAGTTGTACATTCTAATGAGAAAAAAAATTTGGAATAAGCATTGAATCCAATAATTTTCTTGCTTCTAAGAAAAATATTCTTTCAGGCCATTGTGATATGTCAGTAATAGCAAATAATCGGCTCTTCTAACTCCATAAAAGCTTTTACTGTTTGATGGCGGAGACTCTATCTCGTAGGACAAGGTTGCAATTTCTTTCTCCCTGTTGGACAATTTCAGAATAATAATTATTTGACAAGAAATTTAAAAATGGTAGATAAATATTACGCCACTAAAAATTTGAAAATAATAAGATAATATTACGCCGGAAAACTTGAAATCGAAATTAATTGATAAACTTAGTGATGAATGTGATAATAAATGTAATTAAATATATATTTAATATGAGGTAGGAATAAATATTAACAAATATAAATTAATATAGTACTGTGTAAATTAAATTCAAAACATTTCCATATTTATTAATTTATTTGTAAATAAAATTATTTGACTTGTAAAAAGTTGTTAAAATAACATATTTATATATTCTTATCAATTTTTACAAGTTAAAATTTTTATTTACAAACGAATAAAAAAATATGGAAATGTTTTAAATTAAATCTGCACAAAAATATTTTTGAAAAATATATCCGGCATCTGCATTTTTTGAGTTGGGAGGGGGAAATTGCCCCCCCCCCCCAGCTGCGTACGCCAATGTATGTATTTAATAATTATAATATAATTTTACATTATTTTTATATTTTTTATATACAATTTATGATTTTGCAAGAAATATATAAAAAAAAATTGAAAAGAGATTTAAATGATATTTATATAATGATATTACAAATGTAAGAATTAATAAGTCATATTAGAAAATAAACTAATTTAAAAAATACATAAATATCACAAACAAGTAATGATAAATACTTATTAAAGATAATGAATAAAACTAGTATATTTTTTTTAGAGATGCCATTTAGTCATATACTCTCCGAATATAAGCTATATTTAAAACAACAAAGAAAATAACCAATAAATCATTTGATTTAATTTTTTTTTCTTATTTGCAAATTTTCAACTCCCATTATTAAATATACTACTCTCCCTTCCCTGTTTAATCTATTAATGGGCTAAACTAATATTAAAATCCCTGGTTATAATAATTAATTCATTAATAAATATTTATTAAATATGAATTCTTATATGTGTATGCTATGTTTTTCACAAATAAATAATAAAAACTGTATTTTATTATTCTAATTTAATTGGTAATGTTAATTTAAAAGTATCTTGTATTTAAGATACTCTAATTTAGTAAAAGATACAAGTATCTTTTATCTTTTTGATATTTTGAAAAAGATTCTAATATCTGTATCTAAGATTCATTTTTTTATAAAGAATCTGTATCTAGATTCTTTTTCTGGAAGACCTTGCCAAATCTGATCATCTATACATATACTAAAAATGCATAAATGTTTATTTATTTTTATGCGTACATACAATAATATTTAAAATATGTTTTTTTATATTTTCTTACATTTGATTACATATATACTTTACAAACATCTGATGAATACCACGTTTGCTAGAGAGTTGAAAATATTGATTCTTCTTTAGGTTCAAAGCATTATTTTATAAATTTTTTATTTTATAAAAAAGGTCCTGTCTTAACCCCTCTTAATGATTGTATAAATTTTGGTTAATTTGTCGTTTCCAAACTAAGAAAGAGATGGCTGGTTTATTAGCAAGTTAAATGTTCAAAAGATCACGAAATCCAACAAATTCTACCAGCCATACAAAATAAAGTTAGTCATCTATATATATATACTATAAATGCATGTTTGTTTATTTTTATGAGTTTTTATAATTTTTTTAAATATGTTTTTCTACTTATACTTTCTTACATTTTATACTACATCTGTTTAAGTCTTACCAATATTTGATGATATTCCCATAATTGCTGAGAGTTGAACCTAAAATGCACTCCTCTGCAGTAAGTGTATTATTATTTTATAAATTTTTTATTTTGTTTTTATTTTAGAAAATAGGCCTTGTCTTAATCCCTCTATTGTACAATTTTGAATAAAGAAAGAAATGGCTGGTTAATCAACAAAATTAACGTTCCAAAGATATGAAATCCAACAAATTCTGCCAACCAAACAAAATGAAATTAGTCAATTCTTTTTTTTTTCCTTTTTCTTCTCATCTTTATTCCCTCTTCCCATTCCGTTTTGCTTTACATTTCCCTTCCTTTAATAGAAACAAAAAGAATGTATGAAATACTTGAATTTTTATATACAGTGATTTGATTTAAAGTTTTTGAGATTTTTTAAATAATGCAAATTTCCTAACATTGGATTCAAAAGAAGGTGCAAAATAGGGAGTTTTATTTTTAAAAAGAACCAAAATTCATTTTAGAAACAAGATGAATCAAAATCAATTGTCTAATTTATCATTGATTTCAATTGAAAAATATTATTAAAATATTCAAACTCTAGTAATCACTTTTATATAGTATTTGAATAGGGAGTTTTATTTTTATAAAAAGAACCAAAATTCATTTTAGAAACAAGATGAGTCAAAATCAATTGTCTAATTTATCATTGATTTCAATTGAAAAATATTATTAAAATATTCAAACTCTAGCAATCACTTTTATATAGTAATTGATCATTTTAGTGCAAAACAAAAATGATTTCCACTTAATTTTTTTCACTAATAAAATGTTTTTCAATTGTTTTCTTATTAATAAACTGATGCCGTCATTAGCCTCCAAATTACTTATTGAAAAATAGTTGGTTTTGACAATTATATATTTTAAAATTAAAGACTAAATAAAAAATAACACGTTATATGATGGTTTTAAACACCATTTGGACCAATAATACATTATATATAAGTGAGAAATAGGGTAATTAATGATGAAAATACTCACAGTTGTCTCATTTCAAATTGCTATGGAAATAATAGAAAAATGGAATATGCAAAAAAAATTTATGAAAAATTCAATTATTTTAGAAAAAAGATTGATGAATACATTGAAATCTATCCCTGCAAATAAATTGAAAGCTAATCAATAAGAAATAAATTTGTTAAAAATTTAATCTTGTTTGTAACCCATAAAACATGATTAGGCAAATGAATATATAATTGCCTTACCTTATTTAAATTATTTATGTGTAATCATGTTGTAGCATTTTTAAATTATTCTCATTAAGATTTGTCAATGACACAATGTGCATTAAAAAATGTAAGTAAATAATCTATTTTATATATTAAAATATATGTAAGAACCTCTTTTAGATGATTAGCTGAGATTAATAATTTATATGAAATACTAAACAATAAATATTGAGGAAAATTTTAGTTTCACTCAACTTTATTTAATTTTATTATAAACATTTCATTAATTTTAATTTTTATAACTAAACACTGACAAAAAAAATATTACCTTATAGAAATTAATAGCCATAGAGTAAAGATTAAATCAGACTTTTGCAAAGTATAATTTTTTGTAAAATTTTAATGGCCCAAGCATGGAAGTAAAAAAAAAATTGCCTTTGAAGTAAATTAATAGGTTAATATTTTAATTGTCATATTATTAAAAATTTACCCTTCTATAAATGTAGCTGTTTATAAATTTATTTTATAACTTAAAATATAAATATAATTTTTAGTCAATTTATAACATAATTATTTAATAATAAAAATAAATTTAATAATTATATCATCATCTCTTCCAATAAATTAAAGTCAAAATTATGTTCATAATTGTCAAGGATTTGGTAGTTTTCATTGATATATTTTTCAATTTCATCATATAAAGGCAAATGTGAATAATCATGACGTATCTGATCTATATTTGTTATATTTTCATTTAATGTGATATAATTATGATCTTTTAATTCATTTATAGTATTTATATTTTTATAAGTGTCTATAATCTCTTTATCCATCTATAATTAATATAAATACTTGATTATTTGTTAATAAAATTAACTAGATATGTTTCTGAATCATCTTCTGAAGATTGTGATAACACATCAGAAAAGGTATGGGGGAATGAAGGAGAACTGGGAAAAGAAAATGAATTTTCTCTGTCTTGAATGGGAACAGTAAGGAATTGCTGCTTACATCTAGGACTGTCAAATGGTTCACTTTCATAGCATGAGTCATATTCAATTGTATCACGAATGAGAAAAGAAACAGCATCAGAAAGAGGGAGTTGTTCATTAAAAGAGCATTCAGGTTTTTCTATGAATTATAAATTAATAAATTTATAAAAAGAAGAAACCTTTGATTGTATGATTTTCCTCATTGTTGTATTCTCCCTCTGCTGGGGAAAAAAGTTAATCTCTGCAGGATTTTCTTTAAGAATACAAGGTTTATGAGTAAAATCATTTAATGTAGAAATATCTCCTGAAAGCTTTTCTTTATGAGCATCATCTTTGTTGATTATTTCTATTTCCTCTTCTTTCAAATAAGGTAATTCAGAAGATTTTAAAGTAACATATGCATTACAATTTAATTCACTATTTTGGAAAATTTCAATATGTTCATCACCAGTAGGTGAATAAGGTGGAGATGGAATATTAATTTCACTTTTTAAATCGTTGCTTGAATCTATATTTAATATAGGAGCAACTTTTTTATTTAAAGTAAAGTCCTAAAAAATGATTAATCATTATATTAATTTACACAGCTTACAGATTTATTGAGAGATGCTAATTTTTGTTGTAAATTTAAGGTATTAAAAATTCGATATAGTTTTTTATTTTCTATAACCAAGTCACTTTTCTAAGTATTTTTTGTTAAAATTGTATCAATATTAAAATATACCTCATTTTCAAGAATCCTAACTTTATTTTCCAAATCCTTTATAAAGGCCTTTTTCCTATCCCTTGCTATTTGAGCAGATATCCTATTATTCATCTTTCTACGAAACCTTTAAAGATTTATAATTAAATTATACCTTCTTAAAAGCTTTTCTTCATAAGACATATTTTTTTGTACCATAAATGTATTATAGCAATTCATTTATATACTAAAATATACATTTAGTGATATATCAACGTGGCAAATTTTAACATGCGATTCTATTAAACCAATGATAAAAAAGGCTAACATAACCTTGATCATGTCACCTGACATATAGGTGTCAATTTAATTTTAAAAGTAAACATTTTAAATTTTTTTCTCTTTTCTATCTTTGTAGAATATCTATCTTTAATTTATAAAATTTAAATACAAATTTTATTATTTTTATACTAGTAGAGAGCTGGAAAACCCAGTGAAACCGAGAATTTTTTTTAAAAAAAATAATTAAAATAGGCCAAGTTGGTATTTTATTAAAAAACGTTTTTTTTTCGTTTTATTAACGAATGCAAATTTTTTTTTGATATAATGATGATTGATTATATATTCTTACTAATTTATTATATGAAGAATTTGGTGGACAGAGGGGGGGGGAGGGTCTGAAGTGCAATACTTTAAAAAAAGTTTTAGCTTTTCCCAGCAAAAATTTAAAAAAAAATGAAAGGCCGGAATGCTCTCAACAAAAAATTCGATTTTTTTTATAATGGTATTTTGGCATCCTTGAAAATTTTCTTACAAAATTTTTAAATAAACTTAATATAATATTTTTACTATGCTTAATAAACTAAACTGATTTCGTAAAAAAAATTAATATAATTTTTATAACATTAAAAAAATTAATATTATTTTTATAACTTAAAAAGATTAATATAATTTTTATAACGTTAATTAATATAATTTTTATTACGTTAAAAAATTAATATTATTTTTGTATATTAAGAAATACTAATATTTTTACTACGTTAAAAATGTTACTATTATTTTTACTACGTTAAAAAATTATAATTTTAACTACGTTAAAAAAAATATACATGAGGGAAGCAAATTTAATATTGCTTATTTTTTTTTAATAAATAAAGAGAAAATCATTCCATGGTATTGTGTAATTTTACCATTAAAAAATAAGCATTGGGGAAGCAAATAAAAAAATGCTTATTTTTTTAATAAATAAAAGAGAAAAATTTTTTTACATAATATTTTTTTCCTATAATAAAAAATTTTTCGTTTTTAAAATCCATATTTAATGTTTAATAATTGTAATTGTATTATTGAAAATTTATTAACATTATCATTTAGCTCTAGAAATTTTGATGCGAAAAAATTGATTATTGAAAAAGGAAGACTAAAACCAATTTTACAAAACTTAAAAAAAGAAATCAAAACTTGCATCCGTAATTTTTCTATCGATAAATATGAAAAATATGAATGGCTCACTGGATGTGAAGTTTCTAATTCTTATATTGTTGGTCATGCCTATTATTCCCAAAGAAAAAATATGTTTGGAATGATAAAAGATTTTCGGATATGAATAATTTTTCAAAGGCAGTTAAATGGCAAAGAATCAACCGCTTATTTTCAGTCGATGATTCAATTAAAAACATTTGGCCAAGTATTGAAAATATGATAGATTCGATGCGCAAAATATCAATCGAACAGCATAATTCTAAAAGTCAAATCAAATAGAGAAATATTGAAAATATTGATCAACTCTATTTGCTTTCTTGGAATTCAGGAGCTCCTATTCCCTGGTGATGATGAATCTTCTAATTTAGTAAATAGAGGAAATTATATTGTATTTATTTATTTGCTCGCGGAAAATTTATTCTTAAAACATCATTTAGAAATGGTGCAGTTTTTATTGGACTATCAAGAAATATTCAAAATGATTTGATTATTTCATATGTCTTACACCAAAATATATTAAATTCGTCGAATTATTAGATATTAGTAAATTCCAAACAGAGTTGTACAAAAGATCTTCTTTGAAGATTTTTGAGCGAGATCTAGCTCAAAAATTTGAGCAAGATCTTTGAAGATCGTAAAATTTGAAGATCTTTTATTTTTTAAAAATTTTGTGTAACGATCTTCAAAGATCTTCATGATATTTATTTTTTTACCCCTTTATTAAAAGCCCAGATGTTTTTCAATTTTCATCAAGGCAGGAGGAGAGGTATAAAACATAAAAGAAATATTATATTAATAAAATTGAAAACATCTAAGCTTTTAATAAAGGGGTAAAAAATAAATATCATGAAGATCTTTGAAGATCGTTACACAAATTTTTTAAAAAATAAAAAATCTTCAAATTTTACGATCTTTTTATTTTGAGCAAATGTACAACTCTGATTCCAAATAATCAATTTCTATTAGATAATTTAAACGACACTTATTCCCAATTTTTCGACTTACACAAGCTGGAAACCGAATTAAAGGTAGTGTTTCGGGATGTTGAATTTAGAAAGAAAAAGATCAATGAAATACTTGAATTTTTAATATGCACCGATTTGATCAAAAGTTTTCAAGAGTTTTTTAAATTATGCAAATTCATCTTAAATTTGGCTTCAACGACAGCAAGTGCAGAACGGAGTTTTTCATCTTAAAAAAGAATCAAATCTTTTTGTAGAAACAGGATGAGCTAAAATCGATTATTGAATCTTTCTTTGATTGAAAAAAAATTATTAAAAAATTTAAAATCTATAACTTTTATAATGCAACTTGATCATTTTACTCAAAAAAAGATGAATACCACTTATTTATAAATTTTAATGTTTTTATGGTTTGAGTTTGACTAAAATAAAAAATTTTTTTGATTGCTTCCCTATTAGTAAACTTGACGCTTCATCACTGATGTAAAACAAAACGGTTGTGTATTAATATAATTTCGCAATTTTATTTGGTATTCAATAGAGATAGGAGAATACTAGTAGCGTCACAAATTGGGGAAAGCAGAGGTCGAGTACCTCAAAAATTTGACGATCAAAATTTTAAAATTTTTTCTATACCACTAAAGAAAAGTAAGTAATGACCATTATCTAATTATGACCTTTTCTTTTCTTTCCGTTCAATTTAATAATTATAATATTTTTAGTGTCAAAATGTCCTCTAATGATTCAAGTTCAATTCAAATTTCAGGCGACCTTGGCCAGAATGACCAAAGCAAATTTAAAATCACGGTATAGAGATCGAGACTGGTTGGAGTACAGTGTGATGACGCTGCCTTTTGTTTTCCTTGTAGGAAATACTTGCGCGGCTCAAATGATGAATTTGTACAAAAGGGATTAAGTAATTGAATGGGTTAGCTGCAAAGAAGGAATTGCTTAAACCAGAGTTGTACAAAAGATCTTATTTGAAGATTAAAGATCTTTTAATTTTAAAAAATTTTGAGCAACGATCTACAAAGATCGAGATCTTTGAAGATCGTAAAATTTGAAGAACTTTTATTTTTAAAAAATTTTGAGCAACGATCTTCAAAGATCATCCTAAAATTTGAACTTTTATTTTAAAAAAATTTTGAAGATCTTTTTATTTAAAAATATTTTAGATCAACGATCTTCAAAGATCTTCATATTTTATAATGTTAAAGTAAATTATTATTTTTTTGATATTATTTTTTGAAGTAAATGGGTTAGTAAGCATGTTAAATTAAAATAAAAATTCAATAAAGATATACAAACAATTTTCATAATCGTTTTTTTAAAACTTTTTTTGACATATATGTGTAAAAATTTATATTAAAAAAAATTATATTAAAATTTCAATTAAGATGTAATGTAATGTAAGTAACACAGAAAAGTGGCAATTGTAATAATCGTTATTTTTTAACTTATTTGATTTATTGTGTAGTAAATAGGTTATAATTTTAATTATTAAGATATACAATGAAGATGTACCATAGAAAAGTGACAATTGTCATAATCGTTATTTTTGAACTTTTTTGAATTTTTTAGCATAGATATTGTTAACATGTTAAATTAAAATTTCAGTAAAGATGTATCACAGGAAAGTGACAATTGTCATAATTGTTATTTTTGAACTTTTTTGATTTTTTTTAAGGCAAATGGGTAAAAATAGATATTGTTAACCTGTTAGATTAAAATTTCAGTGAAGATGTACCACAGGAAAGTGATAATTGTCATAATCGTTATTTTTAAACTTTTTGAATTTATTTAAGGCAAATGGATATAATAGATATTGTTCACAATAAATCAAATAAGTTAAAAAATAACGATTATTACAATTGTCACTTTTCTGTGTTACTTACATTATATCTTAATTGAAATTTTAATATAATTTTTTTTTTAATATAAATTTTTACCCATATATGTCAAAAAAAGTATAAAAAAACGATTATGAAAATTGTTGGTATATCTTTATTGAATTTTTATTTTAATTTTATTAAGGTTGGCAAAAAAAGAGAAAAACAGATACTTAATTTTATTTAATAATTTTATTTTAAAATATATTTAAAACTGATAAGTACAATAATTTTCTAAGTGTATATAGTTTACAAAATCTATCAAGTAATTTATGTCGAATTATTGAGTTAATTTTATAAAACGAGTCCGCGTGGTTAAAGTTAATATAATATAAAGAATAAAAAAAAATCAATAATTTATTTAATAGATCGCGATAAATTATAGATAAATTTGTAAATCACAACATTTCACCCCTTAAGAAACAAACTTCGCTCAAATTCTTCTTGTATGTGAATATTTTATGTTCAAAATATAATCTTGATATCGTGCAGGTAATGTTCTATTCCGGCTAGGCCTCGTAATGTCGGCTGTACAATCTTTTTCTTGTTCAGTAACATTTCTCTCCTTGTAAAATGTAATCGTTGGCAAAGTATTTGAGTGATGAATTAATACTTCGTCAGTGGTAAATCTTTTCTTAAGTTGGTCTAAGTGCCTCCTTAATATACCATTTTTCGTTTGAATTTGAAATAACATGTTACTTTCTTTTTTTATTATAACGCCTTCATCCCACTTGTTTACTCCAAAATTTCTATACCAAATTTTTTCTCCAATATTCATCGTTTTATTTTTTGGTAAAACTGTGAACGAAGTGTTGTCGTCGTCTTTCTTATATTTTAATAAATCCCATTTTGTTCTCATATCATGATTGAACATGAGTTTTCTTGGTGGGATGCCAGTCGTACTGTTTGGCGTGTTTCTGTAATTGAAAAAAAAATTTTCCAAAGCGATATCTATGTCCATATTATTTTGTTCCATGCACTTCTTCATATGTGATTTAAAGGTTCTTACCATCCTTTCAACTTGCCCGTTTAAATGTTGATGGTGAGCTGAAGTCTGAAAGTGATGTATATCATGATCTCTACAAAAATTTTTGAACAGTTGACTTGTAAAGTTTGAGCCATTATCATAAACTATTTGTTCTGGAATACCAAATAAGCTAATTGTTTTCATCAATTCTTTTATTGTAAATTCCGAGGTTATTGATTTCACCGGGGTGATTATAAGAAACTTGCTATACGCATCTACTATAAGCAACCAGTACTTGTTAAAAAAATGGCCCGGCGTAATCAATGTGTATTCTTTCGAATGGCTTCGTCGTTAACATCCAAGGATGCTGTGTGTTAATGGGATTATCGGCCCAAATGTTACATGATTTGCATTCTTTTACTACATTATCAATATCATTGTTAATTCAAGGCCACCAAAGGTATTCTTTAGCTAAATGTTTGGTTTTGCCAGCATCCAAGTGTCCTTCGTGTAAATGTTGTAGCATTGATTTTCTTAAAACTTTAGGTACGATGATTTTATTTTCTTTAAATACACAATTTCCCATAATACATAATTCCGTCACCATATTGTTATATGTTTTATTTTTTATCGTGTCACCGTTTCTAATGTCGTTCATTATTTGCATTAATTCTCTTCGTTAGAAGTTTCTTTTTCGATCATTTTAAAGTTAATTGGTACGTCCCATAAATCATTATTTTTTTTATATCATCCATAATGTGTATTTCTTCTTCTGAAGGTGTTAATGGCAATCTGGACAAACAATCTGGCACCGTGTTGTGTTTACCCGCTCTATGTCGTATTTTGAAATTGTAAGCTCCCATTGCAATATTTCACTTCTGCAACCTCATCGAGATGGATGAATTTTCTTTCAAACCTTTGGAAAATATATAAATCAACGGCTTGTGATCGGTGATGATTGTAAATTTATTTCCGATAAGATATTCTTGAAATCTTTTTATCCCAAAAATAATCGCCAAAGCTTCGCGTTTGTTAGTGTAATTTCTTTCGGATTTAAGTAAGAATCTTGAGGCAAAAGCTATCGGCTTTTCTTTGCCGTCCCCTTCTAAGTGAAATATCCCAAACCGCGGTTAGATGCATCCGCGGCTATACCTATGAGTAAATCAGGATTGAAAAAGTTTAATGTGGGAGGTTGACTGATTAAAGTTTTTAATTTTTTATAATATTCTTGTGTTCGGTATCCCAAGACCATTTATCTTTGTTGATTATTTTATATAGTGGATCTGCCAGATCCGCAAAACTGTTTAAAAATTTACGGTAATAGCTCGCCATGCCTAAGAAGGTAGATAATTCTTCTGAATTTTTTGGTTCCGGTATCTATAATTGCTTTTATTTTATCGTCGTGGGGATGTATACCATGTTTGTCTATTGTCCCAAAAAGCGTATTTTATCTTGCATGAATAAACTCTTGTCGAAATTGGGGGTTAATCCATACTTGATGATCTTTTCGAATACTTTTTTAATGTTCTCCAAATGTATCTCATCGTTATCACCTGTAATTAACAAGTCGTCAATGTAGAATATAACATCTTTTAAATCTCCAAAAACTTATTCCATAGTCTGTTGGAATATGGCTGAAGATGTTTTCAGTCCGAACGGAAGTCTCTTAAATCTGAAGTATCCTTTATGCGTGGATATAGTTAGCAGATCTCTAGAGTCTTTGTGAATAGGAATTTGCAAGGAATTTGCAGGAAGGCTTGTTTGAAATCAATTTTACTAAATTTTTTTCCTCCAGCTAACTTGGCAATCAGATCGTTAATTCTAGGTATGGGGTATTTGAAATCTTCAAGCGCTGGGTTAACTGTGCCTTTAAAGTCGGTGCACAATCTGAGACTCCCATTGTTTTTAAAAACTGGTGTGAGTGGACTCGCCCATCTACTTTTACCGGCTCGATGATTTTGTTTTCCAGCCTGGTATTTAATTCTTTAGTTATAATATTTACTCTAGAATAAGGTACCCTTCTCGGTGGTATAATTTTTGGCTTAGCATTTAACTTTAGTCGTAACCTGACTTGCGTTTTTATAACAGGTTTATTATTTAATTTAGACTTACAATTGGATATTAATTCCGCCAAATCGTTTTTATGATCCGTGTCAATTAAGCTTATAAATCTTTCAAGTATGTTTTTAAAATGTTTCAACCAAGATCTTCCTAATAAAGGCATCTTGTTACTGTTTATTATCAATGCATCTAAAATTTGAGAACTTCCTTCGTATTCTACATTTCGCGTTGAGCCTATCACTTGTATGGTCTTGCCGTCGTAACCAGATAACTGAATGTTGGACTTCTTAATGTTTTTTATGCCCACTTTCTCAATCATATATTTTAGTAGAATTGTGAATTTCGTGCCCGTATCCACTTGTAGTGAAGTCAAGATGTTATTAATTTTTATGTTCACCATGTATGCGTCATCTTTAACATTTATTACTTCGTTTTCTACGTTATTTATATCAATATTTAACAAATCATAATCTTTCTTATCGATTGATATGATTTTGTCGTCTTCGATCTCTTCTATATCAACTGTATTAATTTTGTTTGAATAAGGTACTTGGTGTTTAGGATTATGATTCATGTAATTTTTATTGTCACGATCGTAAAATTGTTGATGCACGTTAGATCTATTATAATCTCTAAAATTATGAAACGGTTGTCTGGTGTTGTCAAATCTGTTGTAGTTTTTGAAATCATTAAAAGGCTTATAATTATTATCATGTGCTTTGTTGTTAATATTAAATCTATTATTATTGTTATCTCCTGTGTCGTGATTATTGAAAGGAATATAAGAGGTTTCCCATCTATTTTGATGACAAAATCTATCATAATTTCGTCTTGGAAAATGATAGTTATTTTGGTTGTTTAATCTTATGTTGTCATAATATGGTCGAGTCTCATGGTTGTCTAAACTGATGGCTGTAATTATTATCATGATATCTGTTGCTCTCAACATATGGCATCATCTGGGTGTTGTCATATCTAATATTAGTTGGTTTTAGTTCATAAACATTCTTACCTTGTCTTGTTCCCCCAAATGTTTTAGATCGGAGTGTGTATTTTCTTTGATGCCAATCTTATGTATAGATGTTACGATGTCTGTTTCGTCTAATTCTTTGCCTACCTTTATAATGTCATCTAAAATGAGTAAATCTTTAATTCTGTAGTTAATTTCCTTAGAAGAGCTTGATACCTTTATTTTTTCTAAAACCCTGTCGTAGCCGATAAAGTTGCAGTCCATATTGAGTTGACAAATACGGGTAACCCAATCTAAAAAACTTTCTCTCTCTCTTTTTGAATCGCTGCATTGAATTCGCTAATTTTTTTGTTTCGAATCTTGGAAGGCTGTAATAATCTAAGTTTGTTGATGAATATCGACGATTTCTTGAGATCGGACTCAGTGCATATCGATTGTAATTTTGAAAATACTTCATCAGGTAAATTATGAAAGGTTGTGGCGTTATCCTCATCTGTGATGTTATTTTTTTTAAAAATAAGTTCAATTTTGGTTAAATATATATCGATGTTTCCTATATATTTAGGAAATTCGTATTTATATGATATAGTATCATTAGAAACATTAATTTTTTTTTATCTTCCATCATATTTAATTAATTGAAAAAAAAATTTTATTCTTGTTTTTTTTATATAATTTAATTATTTTGTTTTTAGAAATATGAAATTATATTTTAATAAAATTTTAATTTACAAAGAAATTTACAAAGATAGCTACTGCCACCATATTTAGGTTGGCAAAAAAAGAGAAAAACAGATACTTAATTTTATTTAATAATTTTATTTTAAAATATATTTAAATCAGATAAGTACAATAATTTTCTAAGTTTATATAGTTTACAAAATCTATCAAGTAATTTATGTCGAATTATTGAGTTAATTTTATAAAACGAGTCCGCGAGGTTAAAGTTAATATAATATAAAGAATAAAAAAAATCAATAATTTATTTAATAGATCGCGATAAATTAATAGATCAATTTGTACATCACAACAGTTAGTAAGCATGTTAAATTAAAATAAAAATTCAATAAAGATATACCAACAATTTTCATAATTGTTTCTTTTAAACTTTTTTTGACATATATGGGTAAAAATTTATATTAAAAAAAAATTATATTAAAATTTCAATTAAGATGTAATGTAAGTAACACAGAAAAGTGAAAATTGTAATAATCATTATTTTTTAACTTATTTGATTTATTGTGTCGTAAATAGGTTATAATTTTAATTATTAAGATGTACAATGAAGATGTACCATAGAAAAGTGACAATTGTCATAATCCTTATTTTTGAACTTTTTGAATTTTTTAGCATAGATATTGTTAACATGTTAAATTAAAATTTCAGTGAAGATGTATCACAGGAAAGTGACAATTGTCATAATTGTTATTTTTGAACTTTTTTGATTTTTTTTAAGTCAAATGGGTAAAAATAGATATTGTTAACCTGTTAGATTAAAATTTCAGTGAAGATGTACCACAGGAAAGTGACAATTGTCATAATCGTTATTTTTAAACTTTTTGGAATTTATTTAAGGCAAATGGATATAATAGATATTGTTAACATGTTAAATTAAAATTTTAGTGAAGATGTACTACAGGAAAGTGACAATTGTCATAATAGTTATTTTTAAACTTTTTGAATTTTTTTTAAGACAAATGGGTAAATATAGATGTTGTTAACATATTAAATTAAAATTTCAGTGAAGATGTACTACAGGAAAATGACAATTGTCATAATCGTTATTATTGAACCTTTTTGAATTTTTTTAAGGAAAATGGGTAAAAAAAGATATTGTTAACCTGTTAGATTACAATTTCAGTGAAGATATACCACAGGAAAGTGACAATTGTCATAATGGTTATTATTGAACTTTTTTGAATTTTTTTAAAGCAAATAAAAAATATATATTGTTAACATATTAAATCAAAATTTCAGTGATGGTGTACTACAAGAAAGTGACAATCGTCATAATCGTTATTTTTAAACTTTTTTGAATTTTTTTTAAGACAAATGGGTAAAAATAGATATTGTTAACATGTTAAATTAAAAATTCAATGAAGATGTACCACAGGAAAGTGACAATTGTCATAATAGTTATTTTTGAACTTTTTTGAATTTTTTTAAGGCAAATGGGTAAAAATAGATATTGCATGTTAAATTAAAATTTTAGTGAAGATGTACCACAGGAAAGTGACAATTGTCATAATCGTTATTTTTGAACTTTTTGAATTTTCTTAAGACAAATGGGGTAAAAATAGATGTTGTTAACATATTAAATTAAAATTTCTGCGAATATGTACTACAGGAAAGTGACAATTGTCATAATCGTTATTATTGAACCTTTTTAAATTTTTTTAAGGCAAATGGGTAAAAATAGAAATTGTCAACATGTTAAATTAAAATATCAGTGAAGATGTACCACATAAAGTGACAATTGTCATAATCGTTAATTTTAAACTTTTTTGAATTTTTTTTAAGTCAAAAAGGTAAAAATAGATATTGCATGTTAAATTAAAATTTCAGTGAAGATGTACCACAGGAAAGTGACAATTGTCATAATCGTTATTTTTGAACTTTTTTGAATTTTCTTAAGACAAATGGGTAAAAATAGATGTTGTTAACTGTTGTAGTATTATGTGTATTTAAATTATTATTAAAATAATGTCAAGGATATATTGAATTTTTATATGAAAAAGAAATGATGTCAAAGATATATTGTATTTTTATATGAAAAAGAAATGAGGTCAAAGATATATTGCATTTTTATATATGAAAAAGGGATAATGAGAAAGTTGTAATTTTTTTTTATTTAAAAAAGAAAAAAATGTTTTTTAGTTAATTTTTTTCGCGTAAAAAAGAGGATTTTTTTTATAAGAGGAATTTTTTTATATAAAATGATTTTTGTTATGAAATATAGATTCAATGACATAATGTCATTGTATAGATTATATAAATAAAAGTATAAATATTTTATAATGGAATTAACCGAATCTATAATAACTAATTAGTCTAATAAGTTATAAGAAGACGACACAAATGGTGCCGTTTAATTTTTATTCAACCAACGGACAAGATATCTGGGTAAAGTGGACGCAGTGTACTAATAAAATATACAATCAAGGTGGAAAATAAAAAATTCTTAAAAATAAAGGGTAAAAAATGTTTGGAATATATAAAATGATGTGCATTTATATAATTTTGATATTATTAATTATATTAGGTTTAATATATTGTCTAACTTTTAGCAATGTTAAAATATTTATAATAAAAGTTTTAATAAATTTTTTATAAATTTGTGGATAAAGAATAAATGTTTAATTATAAAAGAAGTATAAAAACTCAAAAGTATGTGGAAATGGTTCCACAGAGAAATAATTGTATTATAGCGGTAGTAGTGATATGTTTATGGATAGTTGGTATTATGTTACATCGGAAAAAAATAAAAAGAATTATAGAAAGAGATAGAATAAAAATTACGAAGGAAATTGAAATAAAAAGTAATGAAATTGAAAAAGGAAAAAATGAAAGGGAAGTAAAAAACGTTAATGAAAATGAAAGAATTACGGAAGAGATGTTAAATTTAAAGGATGAATTATGGAAAATGTTAAATGAAAATATGATAGAAGGAATGAGGAAAAGTATCAATATTATTAGATCGGGAGAGGAACGAAAAGATATTGATAATAAAAGAGAAATAGAGATTAAAGATGAAAATGGAATGAGAGATAATAAACGAAATAATTATAGTTATGGAGAAAATTGTGAGAGAAGTAGTGATGTTAAGGTAACTAGTTACAAGTTACATTTTGGCTAAAAAATAACTGTAATTAGTTATATTTTTAAAATTGTAACTAGTAACTGTAACTAGTTAAAAATTTTGAAATGTAACTGCCAAAAGTAACTAGTTACTTTTAAAGATATATTAAAATAATTAATTTTATTTTTAATATGTTGTGATGAATAATTTTAAATTAAATTTATTAATTTAAAATTTTGTGAAAATGTCTGATTGTTCCCAACAATAACACAAATACTTATATGTATGGCAGATGTGCAGGGATTAAAATATTGTCAACCTCTAAAGGATACTATATTAGCTAGTATTGAAAAAAGGTAACTAAAATCAAATAATTATTTATAAATTAATAATATCATGTCATAGGTTTAATAATCTTTATGATAATGACAACATCATTGCTGCAATTCTTCACCCTTTATTTAAAACTGACTGGCCTTGAATTAGGCAAGAAAGGAATAAAGCAAAAAAGGAGGAAATTTTAAATTTAATAATTACCTTAATACCTCAAAGTGAATCCCAGACGAATGAATTATGCTCAAAACCAACATCACTTGATGTAGTTGGATTTTTTGACCTAAAGCGCCAGAATATTCTGGATAATGAACTTATAGAAAACTTTATTAAATCTAATAACAACACTTTTTCTTTATATAACGATTTTCAAAGTTAAAATTACTCTTTATTAAATATAATGTTGTTATAACATCAATTGCTCCCGTAGAGCGCTTATTCAGTCTAGGTAAGCTCATTTTTGGAGATAAACGAGCACGTCTCCTAGATAATAACTTTGAAATTAATTTGTTGTTAAAAGCAAATAAACCTTTATTAGATTCTAATTTTTATGAAAAATAAATGTTTTTTTTTCAATGCAAATATATATTTTTATATTCGATGTAAATATTCAATTTTGCGATATTTTTTTATATAAATAAATTGTATATTATTTTAAATAACTGATTATACTTTGTTTATCCTAATTTTTTTTATAAAATAAATGCATTCAATAAATAAATAATGCGCATATGAAGGATGTATAAAGTAAGTAACTAGTTATTTTTGAAAATAACTGTAACTAATATACTTTTGTAAAAATGTAACTAGTAACTGTAACTAGTTATGTTTTTGCCAATGTAACTAG